TGCTCATTCCATCAAGGCTTTGCCTTTTGTTACTCATCACTACTGTTGCCAATTATCATTCATTCAGGGCATTTTATCCTCCACCCACTAGTTTAGGAATTGAAAACATTATGTAATTGCGCATTTCATTCACAAGAGCCTCCACCTTGACCAGTGAATAAACTCATCTAATGAGAGACCACTTAAAGTAAGAGATGGTATCCTGTAAGAAACTTAAAGAAGGAGAAGGAGGAAGAAGAGAAAAACAAAGGAGAGGAAGGAAGAGGAGGAGAAGGAGGAGGAGGGAGAGGGGAGGATATACGAAGGGGAGCAGAATAAGCAACTCCAGAATATGCCACTTTGACATACTGATTATTTTAAATTCAAGTTACTTGAGAAACAGTCAGTACAAGAGGGACACTCTGACCCTCCTCTGTCCCTCAGAAAGCAGAAATAAATCTCCCATGTGAACAGTACCCGTCCTGTACCGGGAGGAAGAAAAACTTCTTTAATGCCAGAGATAGAGAATTCAGGGCCAAACTGTATAAATAGACCTTGCTATTTCTTTACTAATTTACTACCCGAAGCCCAAACTTCTTTGTCTTGTCCATTCTTCACAAATTTATTGCTTCTTTGTCTAAAGGGTATAAAAGCTGTCTGCTTTCGTCACTTCTTTGAGTTTCCTGCATATACTAAATTAATTTTTTTCTCCTCTTAGTCTGTCTCATAGCTACTTAACTATTAGACTGACCAAAGTAGCTAGAAAGAAAAAAAGGAAAAATTTCCCTGCCCTACAATACCAACAACCATTGCTCAGCAGCTCCTTGAAGTTCCTTCTTGGCTTATTATGTTCATGGCCCCCCTGATTCCTGAGCTCCAGAACTTTCTGAACAATAGCAACCATTGCACTTACTGTAAGTGGTGTGTGTCCACTGGGAAACTTGTGAACAGCTTTAGAAATCATTCAAAGCAATATATCAACGTACTGTAAACATTTTATTTGTCCCGTAATGGAAAGAATATTTGTTTAAAAAGAAATAAGTCAAAGGTCATAATTTTCCTCAGTATCCAGCATAGAGGGTATGAATGTGATTAAAGTGCTCCTTCGGGCAAGTTTTTTTTTCCCATTCAGTAACCCATCTGAGATTCCTTTGTCTAATCTAATAATTCTCTAACAGCACAAAGGAAGACAGAAATCACCCAGGGCAAGCATTGAGGGTTTTGTATTTGGACAAAGTTTGGGATTAACTCAGCATAGCATAAGTAATGAATGTCAAGCTAAGAGAAGCTTCACAATAAATACTTTGTTTGATGAAAGAAATGTAATAGGTTTTCAAGAATGAAACCCAAGTTAGAATGAGTAATTGATCAGAGTGTATAAATACCAGTAAAATCAAAAACATAAGCTACTGTTCTCCTGAGATTTAGAAATCCAGTTGCTTTTTAAAGAAAATTTAGTTTCCAACACTTAAAAGTTGGTAAATTTCTCATAAACATCCAAATTTAAAAAACCAGTTTCTGTGGTACATGTGGATACAGGAGTGGCTATCCATCAGATAAGGTGTCCTCCAGGTTGTACTGGGAACTGCCACCTCTGTACACTTGGGCTTGGCCTCACCTGAATTAGATACTCCCTGACCCACACATCCTGGTTTAGGAGGTTTGCAAAGCAAAGGAAAATGACTATCAGAACCTTCTAAGGAAAGAAGGAGAAACCAATAACAATTAGGCTTGGATGGGACCAGAAAGAGAAATTCACCCAATAAAAGAGACCAAAATGCAATAAAAGCAGGCACTGTAGGTGATTCCAAGCCCCAAATATTAGATGGAATGCAAAAATCTCCCATATGCTCTCTTAGGTAACAACATGAGTAGTACTGTTCAAAAATCTTGTGTAAACTCAGCTCAATAATTTTTCAGCATCTTATCCATGCCTAGCACCATGCTGGGCCCTGAGGATGCCAAAATCGGGAAGACAATCTCTGCCCCCACGAAAAATCCCCAACTGAAGCAGGAGACTAGCATATATAAATGTATAAAAATACATGAATTTACAATTCTATAATACAAATAAAATAACCCAATTAAAAACAATGGACAAGGGGCTTAACCTTACACCACACAACTGATTCACTCCAAGTGGATGGAGGACCTACACAAAACAGCTAAAACTCTAAAACTCTTAGAAAACATAAGACAAAGCCTTGATTGATTTGGGATTTGGTGATGGTTTTTTTTGATATGACACCAAAATCACAGCCAACAAAAGAAAATGTTGATCAATTGATTCCATCAACCATTGAACCTTTTGTGCATCAGAGAACACTATTGCCAGAGTACAAAAGCAACCCACAGAATGGGGGAAATATCCACAAATCATTATAGGACAAGGATCAACGCCCAGAATATGCAAATAACTCCTATGACTCATCAACAACAAAAGCAACCCAACTGTGAAATGAAGAAAGGATTTGAACAGACACTTCCCCAAAAAAGTTATAGAGATGGCCAATAGCACATGAAAAGATGTTCACCATCACTACCTATCAAGGAAATGCAAATTTATGTTTCCAGAAATTAACAATTCATGATAGTGCTTATTTTCCCATGTCTTTTAAATCTTTGCCAATCTCACGTTGCATTTTAATTTGCATTTCTTTCTTACTAGCATTCTCCCACTTGCTGGCTGGACATTTGTGTTTCTTCCCTGACTTGTGTAATCATCATGCCCTTTCATGGTTTTCTATTTGGGGTCTCATCCTGTGGTAGGATTACAAGGCAAGAGGTCCTTGTGTGGTCAACCTGTTCACCTACTGTTGGTCATTCATGGGCTGATGACTTTTTTTTTCTCATTTGAAATCTCTCCTTCAAAGAGATTTATGGTATTTTTTTGTATAGGAGTTTTAAGATAAATATCATCTTTCATGGGTTCTAGAAGAGGCACTTTTTAAGCTTAGAATGGGAGCCACTATGAAACATCTCCAAGACTGGGAGCACGTAGACAATTTTGACTTTATCAACCTTACAATTTACATCCTGTGGCTTTTGCCCTCAAGACATTAGATGGGTTTGTGCCTCATGGCAAAATATGACCTATGAAGGAGAGGTACAGGAAACTGTACTTTTGAGAACTTCACTTAAAAAACAAATGAAAGAAGAAACTACTCCAAGATTTCAGCAAAGACAGGTCCTAGCATCTTGGTTTTTCTTTTTTTCCCCCAGCATCCTGTTGACTAAATGCCACTTGGCACCATGGAATCCCGAGCTCTTTCTCCTTGGAGTTCATGAGGACTTCCAGGGACAGCCAAGCAGGCAACCACACAACTGCCTTTCCACTACAAGATAAATGGTGTCTCTAAAAACGTCTCCAGAATTTGGTGAGAAAGGGTCTCATTTGTAAAAAAGCTTGCGTTCCTCTTCCAATTTAGAACAGACTTGACATACTTGATCTGGAAATTCTTTAACTCTGCTCCCATACCTGTCTTTAAAGCTCTCTTAGTATGGTGAACATACTGAATGGATTGTTTGGGCTGCATTAGTAACCACATGAAGTCCAGGATTTGGTAATCCCATTAAGAGACAAAGAGAATCCTAAAGCTTGGGGTAAAAACAAGGTCCTCCTATTAGGACACATAAATGAGACTTTCAAATACAATTAGTCCACCTAAAAGAAAATGTGAGTGACCAGACTCTATATAGATGGTAGCTCAGCAAACAAATGACTTGGGACATTCTGGCCTGAACTTCTGAATTTTGAAAATGTGATCTGTCTTCTTTATAAGCAATTTTTCTGGGAAAAACTAACTGGAGAATATTATCTTAAGTAGGTAACTTTTAGCTGTAAAAGATATTGATTGCCTATGAAGAAAAGCAGAGTCCACCATTCTTATACTGACCAGAGCCCTAAACAGTGGCATCCACCTCACTCAGCCAGGCCCCCAAAGCTGCCACCCAAACAGAGACCCACCGAGGCAGCATTCTCCCTAATACTGCCTTAGACTTCCTTTTTTTTTTTTTTTTTGCCTTAGACTTCCTTCACTCACCTCAGGAAATTTCTTTCTCTGTACATGCTTTGAGGTGCCAGCATTAAAATACTTGGGACCACAGGACAGAGCAAGGTCAGCCTCCTTGACACAATTCTAGAAACAAGTCAAACCCTACCTTCTTGACCAGTCCCCAAACCTCTCTTATAGATCTCAAAATGCTTCTGGATACTGTAAAATTCCAGGATATTGGAACATAATTGTCCTGTACTTAAGGGGAAAAAAAGTAGATTTTAAATTGCAATTACCCTGAAACTTGTAGAAAAGAAAAATAAAAAATGCACATTCTTTCTTTTAAAGTTCTCTACACTGTTCCCTTAAAGTTATAAATCCTATCAAATTTTTAAAATGTAAACATAGCCCACAATCATGTGACAATGAAGGGAAAAAGAAGGTGGAAGAGGCCTTTTAAAGTACAAATTTCAGGGGTACCTTGGTGGCTCAGCTGTTTAAGCTTATGTCTTTGTCTCAAGTTATGATCTCAGGGTCCTGGGATAGAGCCCTGTGTTGAGCTCCCTCTCCCTCTCACTGAGCTCAGTGAGGAGTCTGTCTCCCTCTGCCCGCCCCCCAACCACCACTTGTGTGTGCTCTCTCTCTCTCTTAAATAAGTAAAATCTTAAAAAAAAACAAAACAAAACAGAACAAAAAACAGAATCACACTTCAGCATATGCAAGTAAATTTTATTTTAAAAGGTAAGACTTTATGCAATCTGTTTTTAATGCAACCTTTTAAAACCTGAAAATTCAGTTATTAAGCAAGTGAATCACACAACATTGATTAGAGTGATTAAAGAAGTAGTGATGTTCACCACTGTGAACGATCACAGAAGGGAATCACAAGTTGGATCTTCAATGATTTGAGTTTTATCTTGCACAATTAGATATGGTCAGCTTTAAAACAAAATTCATTTTCTAGTCATTCTGCTCCCAATCATGGCCCTCTTCATCACCATCATCTCAGACGACAGGAATACTCACCCTAGTGGTGCTTCCCCAATGGTTGTCCTGGTCTTTGGCTATCAGTATGCAGCCCTGCATGCCCCAGTCTGTGCCCTAGCTGGGAGACAGGGTTTGCTATTTGCTATTTATTACAGAAGAACAAACACATTTATCTTTATGAACAATCACACCTGATACTGAGCAGTGCAGCAGAGGCCAGGACAGATTCAGGAAAAATCAGGAGAGGCCATTCCTGTTCATCGTTGAGCTCTAACCCTATACAAAAATCTATCCCCAAACCTTTCACAGACTGCAAAATAAGAGACAGGTAAAGGGAACACTTGGGGGTCAGATGTAGTTCTGAAATAAGAAAATTTCCAAATTTAGAAATGCAACGGTACCAAAACTGCACCAGGACCCTAGCAAACTTGAGATGGTATGTTAATATTACCATCAAATGAGTATATCTGTGTTCCCTCTAAGTGGAGTAAACGCTTCTGGGATTTCAGAAGTGTGTTCAAGTGTTGGAACGTGGAAACCTGCATCCAAACACTGATTCCAAGAAGGATTCCCTTTTCAATTTCAAAGATAAGTGTTTTTGGGGTTTTTTTTTACCTGTTCTTGATAATCCAAATTTTTTTGTTTTCTGATTCTGCTCCTTTAAATCCATAGCCAACCACCAGAACACCACATTCAGGTGTTTGCTGCTGCAGTTTGGATCATAACAAATGCCTGGAAAAGAAAAATTCAGTCTCCAGGTAGGATCTCCAAGTGACATGTTAACATGTGACAGTAATCTAGACTATCAACCATGATAAGGGGAGCATCTCAAAATTCAGTGAAATGACATAACTCCAGATAAGATTTAAAAGCAGTTCTTTTCTGAGCTAGACTAGGGATACAGGCCCTAATCTAATACTAGCAGAAAGAAAAAGTGGCACAATCTTTTTGTAAACAACTTACCAATGGGCATAAAAGATCCCTCATTGAAAACTTGTCATTCTGCTTTTAGGATACCAGTTAAGGAAACAGCACAGAACCCAAAATTACTTGAGCTAAGCAGTTCTTTTCATTTCAATTATAGTAGTAAACTCTTTGTAAATTTTAAAAGCCTAACAAGTGCGGGGAAATTAAAATGAATTAAGCTATACCAATTGGCTTATATAGCCATTTAGATATATTGTGAAGTGCTTAAAATCATGAAAATATGGTTCAAGTCATGTCAAATGGAAACAAAATATTACATGTACAGAATGAACAATTGCGTTAAGTCCACACCCCCAAAATTCTACATTAGCTTCCACATACCAAAGTCAATATTGCTGTATGTTAGGGTGGTTTTTTAAATTTTCTGCCTGTATTTCTACATAGACAAATGGTTACCTTCTTTATAGACCAGAAGGTATCCAGGCTTGCATTGATACCAATAGAGACTGGCCCCACAGTTGCCACTGACACCATAAGGGACTCCTCCTGCTGAAGGATGTTCACGAAGTCAGTGACGTTGGCAGCAGGATACTCAGGCCTGTATTTGCAGGATCCATCCTTTCAAAGGGAAAGGGATAGAGACTTGTTGACTACCATCCACCTCTTGGGGAGCATGAGTTCAAGACTCTTTGCAGTTGAATGATTTCCAAGTCAATCTCATTATAAAGCATCTCAGGAGCTGAAGTAACATCAGTTGTTTTGAAGGTGGAGAATTAGCTGGTGTCTATTCAATGACACACTCTTGTTCTACCAGTCCAGAGGAAATATTCCATTCTAGAAAATCTGAACCATATGTAGAATGGTATAGATATTTCCATATAACAAAGAAATAGGAATAGCCAAATGGTAACCGGCTAGCAGAACTGTGTTGGGCTAATACATTTTAATGACAGTTCTGACAGTTTGTAGATGCAGAGTCTACAATAGAAAATGTGAATACTAAGTATGGTATCTTTTTTCTCCAACTCTTTTTCCTCAACTCTCAAGCAGAGCTGGAATGACAAGATAAGGAGTTCTATTTACATTTCAGTGTTTGGATAGGATTCCTCTGAGACTAGGCCCCCGTTGTCCTTAACATACTGGAAGCTGTTATCCACCAGGCCACCACTGCAGCCCTCGTTGCCTTCAGCCCAAGAGAAGTCAGGTTCTGCTCACTCAAGGACACAAGTTTGCCAGTTTTGTGGAATGTCTGTCCTTCCCAGGCATCAGTTGTATTAAATGCCCACCTAGATTCACAAGGACCCTGAAACCAAATTAAAAAGCACTCAGTTTCTAAAACAAATACAAAGATTTGGCAATAGCTCATTTATCTGAAAATTCTCTTAAACATATTGTTCCTCACTCTGTCATAGCAATGACACTTGTTCCTTTTTTACTTCACTATTGGGGGGTGACCTGCTGAATATGGTCACACCTGATCCTTCACAGGAATGACGTAGCCTTGCTCTCTCCAGTCCACAGATGAGGAGATCTCAGCAAAGACAGGTGCTCAGAACACTTTTCCCTTCTTGTGCTTCTGGATTTTAAAGTCATTCAGCACCTGTTTGAATTCTTCATTGGTCTTCAAGGAAAAGGAAACAGAATGTTGACAAACATGAGATTTTTTTGAAAAAATACTTAGAGGAAGCACAAAATGTTCAGCAATCCATGCCACACTCACCATGTCACCAAAGGCATTCATTGCCAGAGTGAAGCTGTGTTCCCCTTGGCTGTATTCCTGATTGTGCTGTTCAATCATTTCCATGTTCCTCTCCCACACTGTTCTCCTCCATCCTTCTTCATCCTGCAGAAAAACATATAACCCATCATCCTTATTTCTAGTTAAAAGCACTTAGCTGCATCAAGTGGATGTGCTGACAGAGAGGAGAAGAAACCATGGCCAGCGCTGGCCTGGTGCTTCTGGAAGCTGTGCTCCAGCAGCCACACAGCAGGACATGTGCCCACCTCGTGCACAGACCCAGGGCCCTGCTTACTGCCTTGGTAAGAGCAGCCTCAGGAAGCTACTCTCTGCTGCGAACTCCCCGCAGCATAGACTGTTCTCTGGGGGTCTCCCTGGACAGCTCGGATGTTACCAACCTTGTCATATAGTTTCCCGTGTGCCTCCTTCCACTGGGACCAGTGTGCATCTAAGCTGTGATCCACTTATGGAGCAGCTGAGGCTATTCCCAGGCAGAGGGCAGCCAGGAAGAGAGAAGGATGCATGTTTCAAAACCTAGGGATGGAAAAGAAATGAGTTTCTGGTTAGACCGATTGATATACAAAACCATCCTCCTTTCTTCTAGACGCTAGAGCCAATACAGTGGGGGAGAACATTGAATATATCCTCCCAAGTACATACATGGGGACTGCACTGGCCCCACCGGGGGCACTCATCTGATAATGCAGCTGTGCAGTGTCAGCAGGTGTAGCTCCAGGCCCATGGCTCTGAGGCCACCCACTTAAGACCCTGGGGCTTCGCCTGATTGGCCCTATCAGTACCAGCAGGGTTCACTGTAATCTTCCTGGGTTTGCCTGTGTTTTTCAAGCTGATGACTTCTATTCTGATGTTTTCTTGATAATAATTGCTTGTTCTTTACAGAACAAAAACTTTTTGACACTGGTCTGGGCTCAATCCCTATGTCAAATGGTCTCTAATTGGATTGACTAAAACAACAGAGCAGTCACAGTGGTCCAGCTAAGACACCAAAGAAAAAATGTATGCTTATTCAGCAAGGAAAACTATGTATAATTTCTATTTAGTTGATGCCATTAGAGATGTGAAAAAAGTACATATTGAAGGTACTTTGAAATATATGTAATATGATGATTTAGTGCTCTGTGTCCCCTCAGGTGAAATCCAAGAACAGGGAGCTAGGGAAAACCTTGAGACCCCTGCCATTCTCACAGGCCATGTATCAAAGATTCGAGGGCGTTGGTGGAATGGTGCCCGGTGGCTGTCCTTCCACAGGCAGGGGACAGAGGAACTACTGGTGGGGCTCTGGCCTAAGTGATCTGAGAACCCTTTCCTTCTCGGTTTCCCATTCCCTCCCTCCTGACTGCCTTCCCAGGTTCAATGCTTGGGCCTGTGTCAGGGGGCATCTGCGTGTCCTTCCATTGTCTCACATCCCTCATAGGACACGGGACAGGTCTGGCCGCACTTGGGGCAGGTGGGACCATTCACTGGTTTCCTTGTGCTTTGAGGAATAAGGGCTTCAGTAACTGGAAGGCAGGGCCACTAAACATCAAAGCAAGAAAAGCCATAAGAACATTTTATTTTTTTATTTTTTATTTTTTTAAAGATTTTATCTACTTATTCATTAGAGACACAGAGAGAGAGAGGCAGAGACACAGGCAGAGGGAGAAGCAGGCTCCATGCAGGGAGCCCGACGCGGGACTCGATCTCGGGTCTCCAGGATCATGCCCTGAGCTGAAGGCAGCGCTAAACCGCCGAGCCACCGGGGCTGCCCCATAAGAACATTTTAATAGGTGCTGTTTTAGAATAAGAAGAGAGTGTGCTGTTTCAGATCAGTGTGAAGAGAATGACTGGTGAATAATTAGCTGTTCATCCGCGAAAAAAATAGAAGTGGCTCCACAAGACATATTGCAGATAGATTCCAGAATTAAATACCTACAAAAACATCAAGATATTACAAAACAGTATTTATGACTTAACCAGGACCAAAGACACCAAGCAAAAGGTATAAAGGACAGAGAGATGCATTTACACCAAAACTAGAACAACACCCCTGAGCAAAGTTAGAAGATGCTCCGCAGCGCAGGAGAGTGTCTGTGACAAGTAACAAAAATGCATATCAAGGATCAGACACATTAGGGTGAAAAAGGTGAACCACCCACAGAGAAATGCACCAAGGAAATAAAGCTGCAGTGTGTGAGGAGCGAGTACAAACAGAGCCGTGGGGAGGGGGTCAGCCCCCCTGAGGACAGGAAATGAGAAGCACAGTGGGTGGCAGTTTCCACTCCGCGGATCCTCGAGGAACAACAGGCACCTGTACCCCAGAGGTCCTAAGGTGTTGGGACGCGACCTCCTCTGCCGCTGGGGAGACAGGTCGTGGGCTGGCCCTGGGACAGAATGTAGCAGTTCTGGGACGTGGAGAAGTTCAGACGTGCAGGCCCCAGGCGCCCACCCGGGGTCTGCAGGGAAGCCTCCAGGAGCCTTTCCAAAGCTGTGCATTGTCTGTGGGAGCAAAAACACGGGAAGGATGCAGGAGTCCATCAGGAGGGAGGTGTTGACCTTGAGAACCTGCAGCCTTGGGTAGGTTGGGAATTACTCAGAGATCCACTCCAGCTTTGATGAACACGCAAATTAATTCCTCCCCTAGTTTGACCCAAAGGCATTCTTCACTTCACGCGGACAAGAGCAGAGAGAGCCAGATGTACTCAGCAGCCCACCAAGGCCTTTTGCTTCCTCCCAGCACGAGGACGTTCAACACAGTCTTTACTCTCTGGCTTCACCTCCAGGGATGGAATCGAACCACCTGCTTTTCTTCTGCAAAGAAGTGACACAGGCCTGAGTAAGGTATGCAGGAAAGTGGGAGATGATGGGTGGCTATCTAAGATGGGTCTGCGCATCAGTGTGAGTTCTCCAGAGACGCAGAGCCTATAGGATGGAGCCCCACAGCCCAGACAGACAGACAGGCAGGCACACACACACCCCCTATGCCATAGCCTTGAGGCAGAATTCCTTCTTCCCCAGAAACCTCCGTTTTGCTCCTAAGATGTGCAACTGATCGTTGAGGCTGGGGCTTCTGCACACACCACCCCGAGGATGCTGCTTTGGCATATTGGTTATTTGAGCCGAAGGCACTTGAGAGGCCACAGAGTCAGGAAGGGCTCTGACATCTCTTTTCCGAAGGCAGGTCATCACCTTTCCCCCGAGAGAGGTGTTCTCCCGGGGAAAGGTACCAGCAAGAGAACAGCCTGACCACCAGAGGCTGGGAGTCCACACCAAACCGCTTCTGTGTAAACACACTTCCTAATAACCCTGAACTTCCCTAGTTTTGCCTCCTGCTCCCATAGTATCTCCTTTGCACTTCCCCACAAATTACTGCCCTTTGTTTTGTCATTTCTCTACAAATTTATCAATATATTCTCTAAAAGTAGAGAAGCTTCCAGCTCTGGTCACTCCTTTGAGTATTGAATTCAATTGTGAAGGTCCCCATGTCAATATAAAAATTTAGGGCAGCCCGGGTGGCTAGCGGTTTAGTGCCGCCTTCAGCCCAGGGCGTGATCCTGGAGTCCCTGGATCGAGTCCCACATCAGGCTCCCTGCACGGAGCCTGCTTCTCCCTCTGCCTGTGTCTCTGCCTTTCTCTCTCTCTCTCTCTCTATGAATAAATAAGTAAAATCTTAAAAAAATATTTAATACAATGTGTATGCTTTCTCCAATGAATTTGTCTTAATCATTTTAATTCTCAGGCTAGATGAGATCTTAATAGCATAGAAAGGCAATTTTCAGCTCTCAGGTTCGGGTTCTGTGTCCTGGCTGGGGATCTCCATCCCCATACTCTATGCTCCTCCACCCGAGTTGTGTGTATTCCTGTTCAAAGGAACCGTTCTAGATTGAGGTCCCAGTCTGCAAAGTGCTCAGTGAGCTCAGAGGAATGAAGATAGTCTGGGCACAAATCCCACCCAGGCTGTGCCAATGGTGTTACTAGGATGGTCAGGGCTTGCTGACAACAATCACCTGTACAGGTAGAGAGCCGGTCCCAGGAGCACTGGGCTTGGATTGAAGGCAGGTGAAATGTGACCCCTCTGTTGTCTCCTCCAGACACCCCAGACACCTCCAGCTTTAGGGCAGTGTACACAGTGCACAAGCATTTGCAGGGCCAACGGGAAATATGCTGCTGCAGCTGAGGTTCACAGCCCGCTCCTGCCCTGCTCACTCAGAGCTCATGATCCAGATATGGGGGCGAGCGGGGGGGAGGGGGGGCGCAGCGGGAGGTCTCAGCTGGCTGGTCACACCCACAGGACAGTACCAGGGAGCTGGACATGTCTTGCTCTCCTCAGTCTTCCAGGTGGTCGGCACTGCCCCCCTGAGACCACCCACAGCCATTGTGCCCAACTTGTTTCCTGTTCTTTTTCCAGGAGGAGGCGAGACAGCTTCCCACACTCACCTGCTCACTGGGAAGCGAGTTGAATTTCTTTTTCTTGTGGCAAAATACACATAACAGAGTGACTCCTTTCGTTTAGGGCATTCACCTATGTTGTACAGCTGTCACCGCCAACCATCTCCAGAACATTCCTCGTCTCAAACTGAACTCTGTCCCCATGAACCACTAACTCCCCACTCCCTTATCCTCCCAGCTCCTCAATTTCAACTGTGATGATTTTTAGAAGGTTCATGTTCATCTTTTATTGCCTTTCTTGTATTCACCCCACCCTTGATGAGGCCAGAAGCATCCATTGCCTTGGGAAGTGTCAGGAGTTGAAAAGGAGAAATGAAAATACAAGAGTCAAAGATTCAAGATTTAACTTCCCAAACTGAATTTTTGAACTCCTGGATTTCATAAAAAGTCAGGCTGTATAGAGAAAGATACACTGTTCTAAATGCCAGAAGCTCTGAGAAGCTGGGTGGGCCCCTCAGATGTCCTGACTCACGACCATCTTGTCTTCTGCTGTGCGCATCTTCAGGAGATGAAGGAATCCACAAGCAGCAACATCACTGGTTTTAGTTTTTTTGTTTTTGTTTTCTTTTTTTCTTCCGGGCGGGGGGGGGGTGTCTTTTTTTTTTTTTATAGAGGGAGGGAGTCAGGGAAGGGCAGTGGGAGAGGGAGAGAGAGAGCATCTTAAGCAGGTGCCAGACCCTGTACAGAGCCAGCTTGATGCTAGGCTTGACCTTGTAACCCCGAGATCATGACCTGAGTCGGATGCTTAACCGACTGAGCCACCCAGGTGCCCTAGCATCATAATTGTTTTAACAAATGTCTACCTGGTTACAGTGGACGAGGAATCCAGGTTTCCATGTAACCTGGAGGTAGGACAGGACAGGAAGGTCAGGTGCAATGCCAGTGCACTCATGAATTAAAACCAGCTCTTCCCATTCTCTCTCCCTGGGTCCATTGCAGCAGAGACCCGCTGCCCCCCGTGTTTCATGACAGGGCTGTGTTCTGACCTTGTGTGTGACCCCGCTTCCCCCTAAGGCTGAGAGCTGTGACCATGTTTCCACAGCAGCCAGAATCCCAGTGCTTCCCAAAGCGAGGCCCT